ATAATGTATGCGTAATTCTCGCAGAGAACAGCAAAATTCTCGTGTAAAAGCAATCTCGCAGATATTTTTGTCTGTTCACAAGAATTTGGTATCTGATCATACAAACTTTCTTCTCTAGGTCACGAGATTAGTGTTTTTACATGAGAATTATTTTCTAGTTTCTTCGCCACAATTTCGTATATCCTCATACGAACTTTCTTGTCTAGATCACAAGATTAATGCACTATTGCCAGTGCGCTACTGCGACGTTCTAGCCACACGTGATCAGCGTAGACAAATGCTATCGACTGGTATAATTTTGTCAGGATCGGCTTGACGGAAGCAAAGATAGGAAAACCTCCGAATCTCACTGAATATATGGAAAAGAGAAGTCTGATTGTAGTTGAATGCAGAACAGACTATCGTTCCTTACTGCCTCTGCTCTCTATTAATGTGAAACTCGACTTAAATATTTATATTTAGTAATTTTACAGCCGCCACATATTTACTGAAGAAGTGCTAGAAAAGATCATACCGACACATTTTTTACATTTAGTGGAAGTAGCCAGTCGTTAGACCAGTTTTTTATTTTATCTGAATCACTATTCATCTTCTAAGCGTAATCGCTAAAATTCGCATCGACCAGAAAATTGAGAACAGTAGTATTCAATATGCCTGAAAAAAAGAATATGGAACTATCATATCATATAACAGGAAGAACATGTATAAATATAATTTATATTTGTACAAATATAAATTAAATGCACATTATCCTGCATTGTTCTATCCGGGATCGAGCAAGTTTGGTCAGGGTGAACTATTGTGGCTACTACTGCTCGTAGTCTATTACTAATCACCTTCGAGAGTATCTTGTAGTCGATATTCATCAATGATAGTGACCGGAAACCCTTCCTTCTTTAACAGCGTTAAACTGGCACGTAAATAAGATGAATGAAATCGGTGGTTTGCCCATGCAACATTGATCATTTTCACATAATATTCACCAATGATGGGGAATGTTACTCTCCATACATCTACCGTAATCCCGTCATCACCTGGAGATCGTCCTGTTTTCATTTCCTTGAGAGCGTCATAGCATTCTACAACTGCGATTTGCTTTTCCAGTTTATCCATATTTTGAGGACTGAGTGATGGTAAACCGGCCAAGAATCTCTTCCAGACTCCACAATCTGCTGGTTTTTCACTGTACAGGTCAGTGTAAAACGGAATCTCACGGAATTCTGGAGTCCGGTGGAATCCTGAACTCCAGGATTCTCCACTTCTCCCATAACAGAACAAAATTGTTCGGTATTTTGGAAAACAGTTCCCCCCAAAACGAACATTTTTGTTCTGTTTTGGGAAGAGGCCTATGGCAACCAACCGAATCTTATGGAATCCAAGGAAATCTTATGGATTCCAAAAGAATCCTATGAAATCTTAGGGAATCCAATGGAATCCTTGGAATCCTAACGAATACGAAATCCAGGAGAATTCAGGATTCCGTGCTTTCCCTCTTGGAGGCCACGCTAACTCTTTTGTAAACTGGATAGTTTTCGTCTGGACTGCTTTGCCATTTCATGGGTTTCATCTTGCAAGTTACATTTGCTGTCTGCATTCTCGAGTTATCCAGCTCGCAATCATTCGCCTTCTATTTTGAAATGGACAGTAGAACAAATACTATTCCAGAGACTCTCATACGATTCAGGTTTAGCGTTGAACATTATCGGCTGCAAATGTAACTTAGAAATAGGGTTGACGCAAATTCACTGACAGCTAGAAAGGAAAACTGATAAACAAAAACGATGGGCGTATTTCTAACAACCAATTTGATGAAAGTAAAGCGACCCGCGTGATCCGCTCCACTATCCACCACCTGGTGTCTCTTTCTTGACATTGCCGGGACATCATCCGACGGCCATGTTCCAAGGCTACACATAACGTTGTACTCGTTAAAAATGCTTTTAAAAGTTTCCAATTGCTCTGATCTAGTCATATGTAATTCCTGAAGCAGAATAACATCGGGACGAGTATTTTCAACTCAAACCCGAAACTTCATTCTCTTCCGGTAAGAACATATACCTTGTATATTGTATAAGTAGACCCGAAGCATCTGAGAAACACACAAAATCATCTTTTCAAACTATATTCTTCATCATCTTCCTTATTGGAAGAGGATGATGACTGATGCATGTGTTGCTTTTTGGATTCATGTTCACTTTGT